ACATAATCTTAAATTTAAGAACCATAATGAAAAGCAAGTTATTGAAATATTTTCCTTGGCGATTTATGGTTGCTAATCTTTTTGAGGGTATTAGGGCATGTCAAGGTATAAATGGTAGATTCTTCAGCATACTTGCATAAATATTTCAATCCCTTAATAGTTATCTTAGCAAAGATAATTAAATCATTGAATTGTTGTCGAAAAAAAAGAGAATGGCATTTTTTGGGATGTGTGCAGCTTTTATACATCTAGCTTCAAAGCCATTTTTAGGGCAAAGATAAAGTTCCTCTAAACCATACAAGAAATCCTAGTCCTTATCACAAAGTTTTATAAGAAAGAATGGCTAAAGGACCTAAAAATACCTATACCTAATGGAGAATCTAATTTTTTACCTAAATGAAGATGAAAAAGGGTATTACATTATGGGTATAGAGATAAATATATATATGATTTTAAATTTTTATTAGGTATAGGGATGGGGATGGGTAATATAACACCCAACCCATATTTGTACTTTACATATATATTTATATATACTTAGTAAATAGATTTTTTGTTAAATGATATAAATTATTATTTTAGATTAATTAGAATTAATATATTTTTATTGAAAAATATATATTAATATATATTTATGAAAAAATTACCTAAATATATAATATAAAATAAAATAAGCTAAAAAATAAATTATAGTTTTTATTTTTAAAAAAAGCTATGGATATAAAGATTACCTATACTTATTAAATACTTAGGAGGATAGATTTGAAATACCTATTTGATATGGATACCGGGATAGGTATAATATAAAAATTTGGGAATGGGATAGGGAATGCTCCTATCCGCCTTATACCTTACCTACTGACATCCGTAGAAGGACCTCATTAAAGAGCAATGGGTTGCATTCTTTCAAAATCTTAATATGAAATATTTGATTTGGAGAGCACTTTGGATGCTTCATACATCTATATTGTATAGTTGAAGTGATAAAACATGGGTCCACTTTTATGAATTTTGGGAGTTATGAGTTATGTACCCTTTTATGGTCAGGAGATAGTATAAGTCTAAACAGTTTGTTCAGATGACTCATGGGTTAAACCAGTTAGAGTTTGATTATGGAAAATCTAACTATGTGGTTAGAGTACACAATATCACTAAAGCATAAAAATAAACCTATTGATCACAACTGAGAAGATGTACTTATGATGTCACTTCAGGATACTTAGTATGGAGAGCAAAATGGGTTAATAATATGGTACCCTCCATATGATGGTTTGCTCAACTAGATGATTTATGGGCAAAGGCACTGATGTTGGAAATCAAAATCACAAGATTGGAATTTAAGGCAAAAAAAGCAAGGACACAAAAAGAGAATCTCAGACTTTAAGAAAAATTGAGACAATTGAATTATTAAGCCATTGTATAGGAAAGACAATTGGAGAAAGTTACTAAAGATAAAGATGTAAATCGTGGTTACTTTAAAGCTTGCATAAGAAAAATCAGAGGTTAAAAGCTTAATTAAAAGATGAAAAGATCAGATCCGATGAAAGCTAAACAAAAAATGTTTGTTTTGTTTAGTAATGGCATAACAATAAAATAAACCATCTAACTATATTTAATCAAATTTTCACTTAAGCCCTTACTTTGTTATCGTGTGATTAAGTCAAACTATTTGAGTTTAATGAAACCTAATTTGGATGGGAAATTCTAGTGATGATCCTATTAATGCAAATTAATGACATATATATATAGGCAAACTTTGATGACATTGCACTATGTGGAAAAAATTAATTGACAGTTGAAAACCAATTAAACATATGTTTAAAGTTATACATTCTTCAACCTTTGTAATTTATTCAATTTTAATGAAATTATGATTTTTTTATATTTATATGAACTATAACTTTCTGAGTTAAGACCTAACAACATGTGCAACATAATTAATTGGGAAAGGATACTTCAAATAAGCTAGATATTTTCTCTCAAGAATAGAGGTTATAAATTTAAAAGCGTGTACATTAGTTATAAGGTCCTTTCCAAGTTGTAAGCCTTCAATGTCTTGGAGAGTTAAATGTGTCAAATTGTAATAGGTTGAAATCTATCTTCTCTTTTATGCTGGCTAGAAATTTACCACACATGAACTATTTGGATATAGAGTGATGTGAAGAGTCAAATAAAATCATTGAAATAAACCAAACTTCAATAGCATCATTATTATAAAGTCATATCCAACCTATATCCTTCCCTTGTCTTAAACATATATGGATTTATGGGTGTAACAATTTCAAGGCTTGTTTCCAATTATTGTTGCCTATTCTCTTTCAAAACTAAAAAATATCGAAATTAATTTGGCTTCCAAATCAAAGCAAGTTTTTGGGTATCAAAGTGAATTAAACTTGAGATAATGGAAAAGGAATAGTATTCCTTAAATTAAAAGGATTGAAACTTTTAGAGCTTCTAAGCTTAAATACCTTCATTCAAATGGGTTATCATTTTGGATTCCTTTCTTTGTGTTATTTTGGAGTAAAAAGGATGTCCCAATTTGAGTATAAGTTTTAGTAAAGACTCAAAACACATTTTCATGCCATAACAATGGTACCTAACCAACTTTTTCTTTACTTATGCTTAATTTCTTGTTCTTGATGGTTTTAATTATCAAAATGAAGTGTTCTTGTTCTTAATGAAAACAAAAGTCATATCTATTTTTTGTTCTTAATGGAATACTTGAATATATACACACATGAAATGTTCAGTCCATCACCTAGTTATATAGAATCAATTAATTAACTGATATACTTTTTTTAATTGAAGCTGTCAAATATTAAATCTGATTAATTAAATTAAAAATCTAACTATTAGGGGTATTTTTAGGTCCAAAGGTTATTTTGGTCATCTTTTCTCATTAGAGACTACCAACAGATAGCCAGGGATATTTTAGACTTTTAGACTGACCTTACATGTTTGATTGACTTAAGGTCATAGTACTACGTCAGCTCAACCACCTTACTAATCTGTCCAACGAGCTCCCCTCAATGTTGACTTGTCGTCCTCTTGGTGGACAATCAATATCTAAGTTAACTTGATACTTTAGGTCATCTTTAACCATGTGATTAACCTTTGGTAGCCTAAGTTGCCCTAAACCCCTTACTTTCAAACTATAACTAAAGTCATGCAAGTACTATCTAGACATGACATGTCTTTCTATCTTCTCTATTCTTTTTTCTATTTTCCTCTTTGGCTAATCTTTGACTTGAGCATCAAAGCACAAACTTTAAGGACACTCCTAGTATTTAATCGTAATCGCTTTCTTTCTTTCCTTTGTGATTTTAGAGTCTTACCTCTCCAACTTAGCTTGACACAAGATTTGATGCACCAGGTAGGGGAATTTCTTTTTCTGGCTGAGCTAAAACACCATGCCACCAAGAAAGAAAGTTGTCAAGGAAGTAAAACCAACTGCCATAGCTAGAATGAAGCCTAAGCCAGCCAACCTACAAACTGGCCTACACTAGCAGGCCCTATAATGGATTTGCTTATTACGGACGGAATAGCATTACCGACTTAGTTAATACCGATGGAATTTTTTTGTCTATAAATCAGTCAATAATGTTATCATTGACAGAAATTTGGCTTTTACCAATGAAATTTTTCATCGATAAAACCTATTTTTCTAGTAATGTGCTCTATATTTGAATCATCAGTTTTAACCCATTCTCAGTAATTTTTTTTATGAGATCGCAACTTGGAGATAATGGAAATGAGTGCAAAGGTTGAGATTCTAACCCTAAACTTACTAGATATTACCTATTACAAGTGACTACATGAACTAAGTGAAGCTTTGAATCCTACTCCTAGATTTTTAATAAAGTTAAAAAAAACTTATTTTGTAGTTCTATCACTCAAATTGAAGATACCCCAAGGTTCACTTTCACGATAAATACAAATCTTGTGTCCTTAACCTTAATTACCCGTTGAGAGATTTTAATCCAACAATTAATGAAAACAAAAGAACATTTTTCTTTTTTTTTTTTATTATACTAAAGTTCAAACTCAAAATCTTCAATTTAAAAGCAATTTCAGTACTATTGAAATAATATTTTTCTTTGGCAAATTAATTAACATATTAATTATCAAGTCAACACACGAAGACTATGTTAATCCTTGATTTCTCATAAAATCACTCCTTATTTTTTATTTTTGTTAGAAAAATCACTTTTTATTAGTACCATGTATACATATAATAGTAATAAGGAAATTTTTATAGTAAATTTTTTAATATTTTCACCATTCTTAAGATATATTAAAAACTTAACTTATATTCCCTCTACTTCAAATTGTTTGGGTGTTATTAACTTTCATGGAGTTTAAAAAAAAAGAAAAAAAACTTTGATTTTATGTATTTAATATTAAATTTAATTTTTTATAAAATTAAAATTTTATGATTTTTAATGTTAAAATGTAAAAAATATATATAAAAAATAATTTCAAAATATAAAATGTAAGAGTTTTAAAAATATAAAAAAAAATATAATTTTAAGATATAAATAAATATGAACATAGAAATCAAGATGGAAGAAATAAAAGTTTATCATAATAAATTATGAGATGCCGGTCTTAAAAGTTTTAAAATTTTCAAATCCAAATAAAAGCCAAACGAAGCCTAAACATTAGATTTTTGAGCCCAAACGAAGCCTAAATCTAGATTTTCGAACCCAAACAAAGCTCAAAGTGTCATTTTTCGAAACGGCGCCGTAGCGACTTTTCCTTCCTTTCCCGGTTAAAAGGAAGAAAAGAATCCTCACTTGTATCTATCAATAAAACGACGCCAGGTAAGAGAGCTCAAATCAGCTTGCCATTGCGGATATAACAGACCCGCAAAACCCGCATCTTCGCGTTTCTCTCTCTCATTTTCTCTCAAACAAACAAAAGAAAGAAAAGCCAAATCTCTCTTAAAAACCGTCTTTTTTAAATTATACTCTATTCGACGACTCTCATTTTGTCTGCAAGCAATCAAGTCAAATTGCTCTCTCTTCGATATTACTTTGCTTCACGTCTCATTCATATACTGCTTATACACTGAAATCTGGTAAGTTACGTTATAATTTATTGATTTTTATTGATTTTTTGCGTTTAAAATTATTGGTTTTTTATTTTTTGCTTCTGATTTTGAAAAAAGAGTAGGGATTGAATATCGGTGATGTTGGGCGCTTTAAGGAGAAAAGTCGCGAGCGGAGGCTCATCATCTTTGGTTAGAACTTTTATTGTTTAAATTGTAATATATTTAGCTAAAGCATAGGATTTTGTTAATGTTTTTTTCATTTTTTTGTGATTTTTCAGGTATTAGGGAAGTCATTGCTGGCGATTCGATCGGGTGTTTCAGTATCTAGAGTTTCTTGTAATGCTGGAAAAGAGGTAAATAACTCAGAAGAAAATGAATTAGATTTGGTAATCATGAACTTAGTTCAGTTTCTTTGAATTTCAATTGATCTTGATGCTATTAAATCTATAACTGATGTCGAAGATGGTTGATTTATTTAGGCCTTGCAATATTAAAATGTTGATATAAAGTAAAAGAAGTGCAAGATCATATGGTAAAATATTCTCTTTTTTTTTTTTCAAAAATAATTCAAACTTAGTCCTTTGATTTAAAGTAAAAAATCGCACGTTTTATTGTCCATAAAATTTGAAATTTTAATCTTTAGTTAATTTAGAAATAATGTTACTTTTTTTTCATTTTAATCATTTGGAGTTTGAATTTTTGTCATCCATTGGTAAATATTCTCATGAGATTGAAATTTCAAGTGCTTGAACAGATACTATTACTTCAACCGAGAGGAATTGCCCATGTCCGAAACTTCTCTCATCTTGTTCTGCCAGGTATATCTTTTGGGTGGTTTTTCTTCTTTTGTTGGTATAATTTTGTTGATTTTCTTTATTATTAATGAAATATTAAATTATTATTATAGGCTGTTCAGCTGGTTTAACAGAGACAAGGTTAGTTGGTTCTGAACTTTGTAATGCACATCAATGTTAGGAATTAAACTCTCACAGGGTATGAGTTGACTACTGGATTATTCTGACAATTGTATATCTAACTTTAATAGCAGGCCCATTTCAATGCATAGTCCATCTCTTATTTGTTTATCAGGAACTAGATTACTTAGGGTAACTAGTAAAGGAAATTCTCTTTCCATGATATATATATATATATATAATTCTTTAAATCAGTTTGCTGCTCCTTAGCACTTCTTCACTTCTTTCCCCTGAAAGCTTTGCTTGTGGGCAGGGATGTCATTTCTAGCATGCAGTCAAAGGCTATCATGCAAAAGTTGTGCAGGGCTTTCTCTTCTAGAGATGTTATGTTATTGAATAATTTCCTTAATGATATTTATTTGGCCTAAGGTTTATTAGCATTTTTTCTCTTTTTGGTCTTTTTGAATGGTTATTAACATAGGGATGTGTGTTTTTGGTTTCTGCTAGAATTTAGATCCTGTGCATTATAATTGTTCATTTGAATCACCACTTATCTGGGATAGACCATTAACATCTAACAATTGTCAAACCCAATTTTCAGTTAGCAGTTGGGCCGCCCAAGAGGTACTACGTCAGGCAATATGTCAAAAGAAGAAAATAGTTTTAGTTCAAAATTTCTTTTAAAATCTTTCTCTGGAAAAGTGTGAATGCAATAGTTTCAAAACTTTGGCTGCAATTTAGTTGTATAATGATTTGGTGTAAACTTTGGTGGTACTAGACTTGCACCTCCGCCATTTTGGCATTTTTAGTGCATTTTTCACTTTCAAAAAGTACATACTGATTAGGAACAGGTCTGCTTGAAAATAAAGATGAATTCCCTTTTATGTTGTAATTATGTTAAATTTAAAGATTTTGACTTTCCTATTTTACTTAACTTGTGATGAAGGGGATCTGGTTGATGCTGTGGTCCCTTTTATGGGAGAATCAATTACTGATGGCACTTTGGCAACATTCTTGAAAAGTATGTTTTCCACTATTGTAATTTCCATTCATTCACTAGAAATATTCGTTTTCAGGGTTGTAAGTGTTTGATTGTGTATGTATCTGAAATTTGAGAGCAGAAGCCTGGTGATAGAGTAGCAGCTGACGAACCAATCGCTCAGATAGAAACAGATAAGGTACTATTCTTCTCCTTTTCCTCTATCAAGAAGATATTATACCCTTCATACCTGTGGTGTTTATTTCCATCAGGTAACAATTGATGTTGTCAGCCCCCAAGATGGTGTGATACAAGAGGTAATATATCAATAAATCTGGATCTTTGGGTCAAACATGCATGCACGCATGTATCTAGCTTGTTGGTCGTTCCTAGACTCCTGCCTTCTCATTTCTGGGAGGAAGGGAAGTGGATTGGATCCTGAATATTAATGTCATAATTCTTGCCAGTATGTAGCCAAGGAAGGAGATACTGTGGAACCAGGTACCAAGATTGCTGTCATTTCAAAGTCCACTGATGGTGTTGCACCTGCTGCCCCCTCTGAAAAGAAATCAGAAAAAGCTGCTTCCAAGCCATCTCCTCCAGCTGAAACTGTAAAGGAGGATAAGCCAAAAGCCAAAGTTGAAGTCTCTCCTGCTGTGGAGAAGCCTAAAGCCCCTTCTCCACCACCTCCAAAACGAACTGCTACTGAACCTATACTACCACCCAAGGAAAGGGAAAGAAGAGTAAGTCTTTTCATTTGCTGTTTGCATCCAAATGTTATCCAAAGGGTATGCTTAGAATTTTCTGATGCCTTTTGTGAAAAATGATGTTAGCATCTTAGAAAATATCCTGAGTGTATGGCTTCATGATTACAGGTTCCTATGACAAGGCTTAGGAAACGGGTTGCTACACGATTGAAAGATTCTCAGAATACTTTTGCGATGTTGACAACATTCAATGAAGTTGACATGTGAGTTCAGTTATCTTCATATTTTAGTTCTTTGCATCAGGTGTTTGGCATCCTGCTGTCTGTGCTACTTCACTTTCTAAACATTTATATTTTGGTTTTTTTTAGGTTCAGATGATTCTTTGACTGTACCTAACTATTTGCTTCCCTTTTCTGATACAAGTTTTCTGTGAAGTTAACCAGATCATTTTACTTTATGAAGGCTATGCTGATTTGTTTCCTTTTCTTTTTGATTTGCTTCTCATTGCAGGACTAATTTGATGAAGCTCCGCTCTGATTTCAAGGATGCTTTTGTTGAGAGACATGGTGTCAAGTTGGGATTTATGTCAGGATTTGTTAAAGTATGCAAAATTTGTTCTTGAAATGGTCACATATGCACTCATGGCCTGTCTTCACTAACTTTGCTTTCTCTTTTTTCCCTTATCATTTCTTCTATTTTATTTGTTTCAGGCTGCTGTTAGTGCACTTCAGCATCAGCCTATAGTAAATGCTGTAATTGACGGGGATGATATTATTTATAGAGATTATATTGATATCAGCATTGCTGTTGGTACTCCGAAGGTAATCTTTTTGTGATTGATTTGCCAATTGATGGGGATGATATTATTTATAGAGATTATATTGATATCAGCATTGCTGTTGGTACTCCGAAGGTAATCTTTTTGTGATTGATTTGCCAAATTGCAATTTATCCATTTAATGGCTTGCTGAACTTGGATTGTTAGTGTTTCTCTCAGCATTCTTTCTTGGCTTGTTTTGAAAGAATTTAAACATCATGTAAAAATGTATTGAATTTAAGAATTTCCTATGAACTTAGAGCAGTTTGTAAAGTTGAAATGAGTAATCAATAGGTTCAAAACTGTGTCCTTTGACAATTAAACATTATAGATTTTTTGAAGGGTTTTTTTTTTTACTTGTTTTCTTTATTTGCTGAGCTGAAGTTGCTTTATTTTATTTCATGACAAAAGAGAAAATGAGGTATCTAGATGATTATGTCAAGTCTTTTCTCATTTTGGTTTGTTGCTAATCTTCAAAGTTTCTCCACCAATCAAATAGGCCTCTATTGATAAATATATGCATAGATCACCCCATCCTTCATGGGCACCGAAAGTTAAGAAAAAGATAAAGAAGAATGTGATTCATGTTTCTATGTTAAGCTTTTTGTTTCTTTATCTTTCCTGTCAGGGGCTTGTCGTTCCGGTTATTCGAGATGCTGATAAGATGAATTTTGCTGAGATAGAGAAGACAATCAACAGCCTCGCAAAGAAGGCAAATGATGGGACCATATCAATTGATGAAATGGCTGGAGGCTCGTTTACAATATCCAATGGTGGTGTTTATGGAAGTTTGTTGAGTACCCCAATTATCAACCCTCCTCAGGTTAGTGGTCACAAACTGAATAATTGTGCATGCTTGTTTATGTATGAGGGTTCCATACACTTGTGACATCCATATTAATAGAGATGTTTGCGCTCGCTCTACTGTGTTTCTAATCTTCAGCTTTTGTTTGAGACCAGAAAGAGAATCTCACGTGATTAAACAATTTTTTGGCAGTCGGCTATCTTGGGTATGCACTCAATAGTGTCCCGACCAATGGTTGTCGGAGGTAACATAGTCCCAAGACCAATGATGTACATTGCCCTTACTTATGACCATAGGCTGATTGATGGAAGAGAGGCTGTCTTCTTCTTGCGTCGAATCAAAGATGTTGTGGAAGACCCTCGCAGGCTGCTACTTGATGTATGAAGGCCTAGTAGCAACTGCTGTGATATTTTCATGGTTTGCTGGTACGCTTAGCATTGGATATATACTTCCACGATTAGCATTGGATATATACTTCCTATTTAAATGAGCAAGAATAAGTTCCTGAAGTTTTGTAGGGTTTCGTTTGTTGATTCACCCTTTAACGAGTTCCGAAATTACAGCTGGCCATTGTTGAACAAGAATAAATACATATTTCCAGTTTCTGTTGTGCAAATACGGTTTTTACTTTTATTTTACACTAAGTTCTTTAAATTCTGGTGTAAAGGGTACACATTTTTATGACACCTTGAATGTGAAAATCATACATGGACAGGTTGGTTTCTTCTTAGATTCATGCAGTCTCTAAGATGAGAATTCTGTTTCCTGGTTGTGGTTGCTTATTCTTTCCTCTCAATTCTTCATTTGGGGATTGTATAACACTGCTTGAATTCGATCAAGCTTCATTTTTCATGCTCAAATTTGATTCATAATTTAATTGAATCGCTTGAATTCGATTTAGCATGCTCTATTTAATTCGGTGAAATTGTAAATATTGACATTAAATTACTCAAACTCAATTTCATTTGTTATTTGAGTTTTTCTTGATCGAGTAAGAATAATTCATAAGTAGCTTGACTGGTTAAGACTTGTAATAGTCTTTGTATTGATGTTTTACAATTTTTTTTTTCCACAATTTGTCAAGAGAAGGCTGGTTCCCTTGTGATGCAGTTGATCGGTACCGTATTCTTATGCTGCTTGGATCTGAGTTCTAGCTTCACGGTTCACACATGACATGGATGCCATTGGGGTAATTCAAAGTTTCTTAGTTGTTTAAAACATATGTAGAGGTCTTATATTAACTCATGAGCAGAGAAAATTTCGTTTCTAAATCATCACCGCCTGGCCTGGCCGGGGCAGTGACGGCGCATGCTTAGGCATAGGGACAGCAACGAGTTAAATTTATAATAATATCGAATGAAAGAAACTCGGAGGCTTAGGGAAAGGCATAACATTCTGTTAAGATGAATTTGGTTGTAAAATTTAGTTTGTAAAAACTGAAAAATTGGACTTAATCAATTTAATTTATATAAAAATCGAACCAATTTATTAATTTAGTCGAATTAGGTAAAATGTTTGTATTTATTAATTTTTAATTTATATAAAATAGTTTTTTTAAAGATTGAATTCAATTTACTATAAATTTAAAATCGAAAATGAATCGATTAAATCATTTAAGTTGGAAAAACTAAATAATCCAAAAAAAAAAATTTCGATTTCATTGAATTATCAATTTTAAATTGGTTTAATTGATTTAAACCGAATAATGCTCACCTAGATTCAAAGATTGTTGCATTGACAAAGACAACACATGTTGCTCGAGGAATGAAGACTGAAGAATATTATTGGTATGGTTGGTCATATTTCATCGTCGTTTTCTAGTGAATGCGCGTCGATTTTCCTCCTGTCAGTCTTAAACTGAGTAATTCTGGTCTCCTTGAAGCGTAGAACTCTGGGTTTCAAAGGGTGAAAATGGTTAGGAATTGGGGTTCACATTTGCCTGTTTTGTTTCGTGACCATCCGAAAACTGAAAAAGAAAGGGGTATTTGCTTGCTATATGGAAAAAGAAATCAAGATTTACCCGTGAATACTCATAAATCAAAATTTATTGCTTTCGTTCATAATTTTAAACACGATATAATAACATCGTATGAAAATAATATAAAAAATTTAAAAATAATATAATTTAAAATTTTAATAAAAAACATATATAAATTTAATAAAATAAAAATATATATTTTGTATTTTTTTATTGATATGAATAATAATACATAATTTTTTATATAAAATATAATAAAAATATATAAATTATTAAATTTTGTATAATATAAATATACGAATTATCAATTAAAAAAAATGAAAGAAGTAACAGTATGAATTAGAACAAAAAGTTTAACATCATAAATTTAGTACTTTTAATTCTTTCCAAAAACTCTTAAAATAAAATAATGATCGTAAATGTTGAAATTTTTACAATTAAATTTAATTTTTCGAAGATATCTGTATAAATAAACTTAGTTAAACTTGGGATTGATTATTCTAATATTTAATTCTTAACGTGATGATCTCTTCAAGTTCCTACTTCCTCTGTACTTTTTATAATGTTAAAGTATTGGGATCGCATTGGTTCACAGCTTTCTTTGGCAATGAAAATGTAAAAGTAAAATGTCAAGTGAAAATACCCATCAACAAGCAAATAATGTCAAGTGAACCAATCACGTGAAGTCTTTAACCCGCTCTACACTTCAATAACCGTAAAGGAAAGTCAAATTCAACTACGTTGAAAATGAAACCATGGACAAGTTCTGTAGAAAATCCTCCAATTATTCTAGCATAAATACATCAGATTCTCACTCGTATTACTGCAAAAAGCCTTTGGATCACAAGCAAAGTGATCGTGGCTATTCTTCAAGCTTTTTCACCAATTTCTCTTGTCGTTCTTCCTCAAGTTCCTTCGGAAAAAACCAAAGCCACTCTTTATAACCCAAATATTTCAGTTTCCAAGTTCCTGAATGATGGGTTTAACAGAAGAAAAGGGTTGAAAACCTTGAAAACAACCAATCCCCTGATAGAAATTAAGCCTGAACTTGGAAACAACAACGTAAACAAGGAAGAAATCTCTAATTCAATGGTGTTGCAAGAGATGTATGCTATTATGGATATTGTAGCAGAAATAGTTGAAATGCGCTAGAACATTGGACTATTGGAGCACAGCGTGATAACTGGAACTGGCTGCTGTTGAATTCTGTCAATGAAATGACAGTCACAGTGGCGACAATGGCTGGAATTGCAGCTGTCGTTGGAGGTGGAGCATCATTTTTGGTTCTGAAAACTATCTTCCGGTTTGCTTTACATTGCATCAACCGGCTTTTGCTGGTTATAAATAAGATACAGCCGTTGCAGCTGGCTGAAGAACAAAGAAATGCTTCAAGATTGTTTAAGCAGCTTCATGAGGAGATAAATACACTCATTGCTCTTGGAAACCCAGATTCAGATGATGTGAAAGATGCAATGGAGAAAGTCTTGGCATTAGATGAAGCTTATCCACTTCCCTTGTTTGGAACCATGCTTGGTAAGTTTTTTACAACTTAAAATATAAATAAAATTAATATAAAAATTAATTTTATTTATCAATAATTAAATCTTTATGGATGCACCACATTCTAAATTATCAACAGTAAATAGAAACAGATGGGTGGGATGAAAATCTTGAAGAAGAAATGAAAGAAATTGTTATGGTTTTGAAGAGAAAAGACACTGAAGAATATATCAAACTAAGCAAAATAGTGCTGAAAATCAATAAAATTCTAGCTATTTGTGGCCCCTTGTTCACTGGCACGGCTGCAGTTTGTTCTGCCTTGATGGGATCATCTTTCTGTGGCTCATTTGCTGTGATTTTCAGTGTGGTTTTTGGAGCTATGGCAATTGTTGTTAACAGTTTTGAGCATGGTGGGCAGATTGGTACGGGGTTTGAAATGTATAGGAGCTCTGCTGGATTCTTCAGGCTTAAGGGGGAGACTATAGAATTAACCTTGGAGGAAGGAGATGCTGATGACAGGGAAAATGGAAAATTGTTTGAAGTGAAAGCCGCTCTTCAGCTTGGAAGAAGTTTGTCAGAGCTCAGAGACCTTGCAGATGATGCATTCCATCCTCATTCTTCAACACAAGAAGAGGATGAAGAAGAGTTTGCAACCAAACTCTTTTTTTATTCTTATTTGAATCAAATTTATCTCCAACGGATTTTGTACTGTTAGAAATTGGATGACATGAATCTCTGGTCAACCAGTTCATTTCATGTAATGATGTTAATATCAGAATTATCCAATTTGATCCAAAATTCTCATGATTTATAATCTCTTAGATAGCAAAGAAAATCAAGAAAAAATCATACTAAAATACCATCAGCTAATTTTGAATGTTCCATTGATCTTAATAACCTTGACTGCTCTTTTACCACCATATTCAGGATTTTTTGACTGATGACCAGTAACTTCATCTTTCCTGAATGGAAAATTGCAATGATATATGCCCAGACAATAGTTGGATGTTGCAACCTAGATCATTCATGAGGCAAGAATCACTTCTTTCTTGTATTAATATGCTTCAGACAAAAGTTCTAAACATAGTAAACCAATTCGCTTTATGGATTTCTTAATTCCTAAGTTTTCTTTTGAGTAAACATGATAATAATTCAGTGTTATGTAAAATACAAATAATTTATGTATTTATATTATATTTTATATGAAAATTATGTATCATAATTAATATCAGTAAAAATATATAAAATATATATTATGTATAAACTTTGGGGGTACCTTTGATTTTGGTGACTTAATGCAAAGCATATGCAACAACTTGGGAAGATTCTTACAGACAAAAATCTCTTTCTTACTTTGTTAGACTTGGTTTTGAGTTCATACAGCAAGAATGTGCCACGTGGTAAGATGTCATTGCCTTGTTTGACAGCTCTGTCCTCCAATGGTCGGCGGTTGCTTTAGCTTGTAATAAAGCCATTCACATGACGATACATTAGCACGTGCCGAGATTGCTGTGTTAATGACATATTATTGGTTAATTAATCCTTAATTAAGGTTGTGATTTTTGCGGCGCAAAGGTGATTAATCAACACTTGACAGTGTGAACCGAGCTGGTTTTGTATTTTTGTTTTATCTTAGTTTTCAAGCTGTCAATACAAGGAAGAAATATTTAAGTTTAATTCAATTGATTTATTCAATCATTTCAAAAATGATAATTCGATTTAATCTAAAATTAATGTAATTTGAAAATGTATGCAATTTTATCGATATTTTGTAAGAAAAAAAAAACATCATTTTGGTAATTTAAACATATTGGAGTAATCTTAATGTTGTGGCCAAACTGTGAACTCTTTTTTTACGATCCATTAAAACGTGTAATCCTTTAGGTATAAGTAAGGAGAATTGAATCCACCCCATGTCTTGCAATGTGGAAATCAACAAAGCTTTTGGCGTAAAGAATGTTTGCTCCATGGCCATGAAACTGTAGAGTTGGCCTATTGATTGAGGAATCAAAGAAAGCAAACAGCAACAAAAGGGGTTGCAACCTATATGAAAAAATTAGAGTTAAAAAAAGTCATCATTTTTTTTTACACAAAAAAAGTCATAGTTTAGGAATAAGAATAGAGATTATAAATATTAGTATTTGAATTCTTAAATTACTGGATGTCATCGGGTAGTTACATGAAGCAATTGAGTTTCGACTCAGAGTGAAACTATTTTTCCCTAGTCTGACTGAAAAGTGAGCTTGAGTGAGAGGTTGATGACCGATTTTTAGGATTTGGATGAAACATTTGAGTGAAGATCAAGCAATTCCATAATGTGAAAGGCAATTTTTTCTTGAAATCCCATTTCTATTTCAACCCAATTCCCTTCTAAGTTCCAACCTTTGCCTTTTTTTATTAAGAATAGTGGGAGAGTCTCTTTATTGTTTAGACTCTCTCAGCTTGTCAGTGCCAACATTCTTTACTGACAGTTGCTAGAACTTTAAACCTCACCCTTTACAGCTAGGTTCACCAGGTGAAA